CACTTCAGCTCGCTCGCTCGCTCAGCAAAGTGCTGTTCCAATCTTGTGGCTACTTGCCAACTCAACCAAGCAAAGTGTGAGTGACGCATCTTTGGGTCCAGCGTCGTAGATATGACCTTCTGCTGACAACGCATATGCAATGGGAGCGATGGCTGATACGTTTACTGTGATGTGTACCGGATGACTTGTGCTTGGATTGTTCAGTGACCACATGCGCAGACGCCAAGACCCCCTGTACTCGGTGTATCGCGAGAAGGCGCACTTGTTTTTCGTGTCGGCCTTGCATCAGATATGTACAGGCTAATCGCCTCGCAAACGTGTGCTAGCATTGATTCATACTTGCGGAATGTAAGGTGGTTGTTAGCTTTGTCGATCGTGTTTAGCCCCCGACACTCCCTGCGCTTTATTACATGCATGGAAGCATCGACAGCTTTGTTGACTTTGTTCATTGAGAACGTGTCTACAAAGTGTCAAGGTGACTACGCTACGAACACTGCTGTATACTGAATTATGAACGTAGGGCACTCACTGTTCCGTATCAGCGAGGAGCGCTGCTTATGTCTTGCTCGGCATGTCGTGGAGTGCGGAATCAAATGCAGGACTGACTTGGTTCATGCAAAACCTTTCAAAAGCATTTGGCCCGTGGTGTGTGTTTGCGGCGTTCTTGTGGCTTCCAAGTGTTGCATCACGGGTACTTCCGCCCAAGTACGTCCCTGTAAGTGAGTGCTCTTTACGCGACACTGGTAGTTTTCTGCGGCAGAGTTGTAATGGTACTACCCAGACCATTGACGAGCATAGCGGCGTTCACATTCCGAGCGAGTCCAGTATTGCGTTGCTGACCTCGAAAGTTCAAGTACTCCAGCTTGGACAGTATCTTCACGAATGCCGACGTGACTGACAAGAATATCGTTTATGTATGATGTGTTCGACCCGAAGCTGCATGCGACCATACTTTCGTCACTGATATTGTCGTTCTCCTTGAGCTTCGGGTCGTATGGTCTTGGGTTGCTTGGTAAGATGTTATCCAAGCAAATCGGACACGACAATCCGTTCGCAATGCGTTCATCTGTGCTGCTATGAACCCACTGGGTAACGTCTGACTGCATTTGCTCATCGACGTTTTCATGGTCATCTTGTTCGTGTAATCTCGACTCGACTTTCGGCTGGCTGCGCTTTGTGTGTCACGATTACAAATTTGTTCACGTCAGGTACTGCAGCCATTGTACTGCTAGCTTGCAGATTGCGACGCTACTTTCGCATCTAAATGAAATACAATCGACTCGATGTCGACTACTTTCTTTTCAGTGGACGTTCACAAGACTGACCTGGAATGCTGGCGGCATCCGGTAGAGCAAGATCTGTTGCGGCGCAGCTTGCCGACGGTACCTCATTCAACCGTCTGCTCACGCGTCGCCAATGCTGGTCATTATGATCAGCTCGTGCTTCTCAGGACAGTGAACTCTGAGGTCACCGATTTTTCGAGCAATCACGATGACCAAGCTGAACCGAAGTCTGAAGAAGCGCAGCCAGTATGGCGAGGTCGTCAAACATTGATGAAGCGACAAATGTCTTCGGAGCATCAGACGAGACTAGCGGAATGTAAAGTATTAAGGATTGGTGCCAGCCCGAGGGTGAAGATATAACTAACTGTGCGCAAGGTGAATGTTAAGTTTGTGAAACCTTTTTATGTCCGGGTATATGAACGTGTGTGGTAGCAATAAAGATAAGTATACCTACACGTCGTACGAAAGACTATGTAGCCTGTCGTCTCCTCGCATGTAGATAGATGTGCATAGTAGATGCAGCTCTACGCTTAGGTCACGAGTTGCTACCGCATAGAAAGTGTAGAATTAATTATAAAATAAATTAAAAAAAGATTTCTAAAAAGTTATTAGTAAGACACTCACACCAGTACCTGCACATGATTGGCTTGAAAGTAAACATAGGCGACAGAGGGCTAAGAAGAAAATGTGTAACGCATAGGGCAGCAAAAGTCTCGCACCTGTCGTAGACATGTACATGTAAAGTGGCTTTTGTCTCAAGTTCTTCTGATAAATAAAGAAGAGCGTATAGTCACAATCCACTCGCGGTGGAAGAGGAATCCATTCTAGCTACAATCTTTCAATTGTACATTCTATTTCATTTATCCATTCTATTTCATCGTCCGCATTTGGTTTTAGCAGCGTAATCAAGATCATCCTCCGTTTAAATTCATCACGTTTGCCTCTTTTTTTAAACCAACAAACATCAACAAGTAGTGTTTCAAGCCCAATCCGTCAGCACTTTCAGCTATTTACACACAACAACACAACTTATTCCTCAGACGCTGAACACCCGAAATGAGAACGCGAATGTACAGAACTTGATCTGGTTCCGTGAACTGAATTACCTTTTTCAAAGAGCGATCTCCAAAGCCTGCCCTTCCATCTTGAAGCTCGTTTTTGCGGCCGAAAGCCAATTTATGCGAAGTCACGTAAAGTTTTAGCACAGTTGAAAGCGTAGGGTTCCCTTTTGGTGCCTTGGCCCCCTGAGCCTTTGGGTGAGCACCGCCGTTCTAACACTTGATTACCGGTTCGATACCTTGTACGACCAACCCAGGGTCGTCTAAAATGTGTGGCACATAAGTATCAGTTGTACCACCCGTGAATCCCGGTACCACTGAGCTCACATTCTCGTAGAAGAACAACCTCCCCCCCCCGACATCGAATATAATTAGGGTCCCTGGACTGGCTGTCCCTTAAAGAATACGGTAAGTAGTGGCCATCCGGTTGGGGATGTGTAGGCTTTGCCGAAGAGAAAGACTTCGATCGTTAAAATAACTAAATGTACACACTCCACCTGAAAACAGTGAAAGTGTGCGGCAAATCTTGAAGGTAGTTCTGCCATCAAAGTACAGTAAGCACTATGTACGGGACTGTATCTAGGCTACTCGTTGTTACTGTAATAATCTGAACTACTCACCTAGCCGGCTGTAACGGGGACTTTAGATACACTGACACTTTTGCTGGGAAACACTAACATTTTCGGCCTTTTTTGCTTCGCCCATCCCAAAATGTGCCGGCTGTCCATTAGGCCTAGTTTTACATTGCCAGCAGAGATTAAGCGATGTACCATGGTTATCGACCGTTCCTTCTTCAATAACCCCTCATTATTCTCATTAGGATGTAGATCCATTTTACCTCCCTCGTCTGGCATGGCAGCTTCTACTGTTGTTGATGATGCTTTTTTCGCTGCTGAGTGGAGCTGCGATGAAGTTTTACTAGCACGTCCCTTTGCTCGTCAGAAGAAAGCCATTGACACTGCCAAGAAGTACACCATCAGCCAAGGCTTCTCCGTTAACATTCTCCTCATCAATATGCGTAGGACTATACGCGTTTCTCTACGATGTACCACGATAAACACGGAGCTTCTAGATGCAGGTAATCTCACGACCGTCCCATAGACTTGCAAGATCGTAACACTACAAAGGCTTCTATTGCTTCGATCCCCGGCTCGGGCTTGAAAAGAACGCACCCGACGAAAATCTAGTCGACGTCGTCATTGCATAAAGGCGGTAATGACTTCCATACTGATGTAAACACCAAGACCATGCTACCGGTGGAGCAGTGCACAATGTGGAAAGAGCGTTACCGACGCCAAATTCGTCATGGTGCATTTGGCTGAAGCTGATGTATGAGGACTCACGAATATGCAATCTTGTCGCTTCGAGTTATTTATGAGCAAGTACGGCCACATTTTACTTGTTTGCATGGAACTCTTGCTAAGAACAGGGCTAGGATATGCGATCAGCTTCCAATGTGTTGTTTAATGCCGCCCACTTCCTTTGGGGATTTTGCCTGCCTGTGTCCATGGTAAGCCGTGCTGAGCTAGAAATGTTTTAGAAAGCCTTACCCATGGTTAAGAACACATTCATACTTAGGCGATATCACTACGTTGACGGATAAATGAACGATGACGTGTGTGAACGTGCTGATTTCGATTCTGATGACGGACACCATCACCGGGGATCGCGAAAGTGGCCCTTCGCTTAACCCCTGTTGGCAATACGATAATTAGGCCTGATGGATAGTGTTGGGGTAGTTGGATGTAAAAGCCGAAGTGAATATATTTAAGGTCCTTAGTTCACTACCCTTAGCTAAGTCTAAGCCTTAATGTAACGACATCCTGTGATCTCATCATGTAACCGCGATCCATAACCTTCTTCCGTAATAACCACCATGAAACACCCTGACACAGAAATCATCACCATGAACCCAACATGGAACGACTGCACGAAGCGGCGTATTCTCAACACTCCCACTCACCGCAACTGCTTGGTGACCTTGCACTGGATACCATTCGCATCGCGCAGGAACTTGAACGTCTTGGATCCTAGAGCCTTGGTCAGTATGTCGGCCAACTGACTTTTGGTGTCCACATACGCTAGAGCAACTGTTCCGGCTTTGATCGTCTTTCGGATGAAGTGATGACGGATGTCTACATGCTTGGTCCGAGCATGATAACCAGCATTCTGATCCAAACAATTGCGCCTTGATTGTCCTACCAGATCATAGTAGCGTTCCTTTGTACCATTCCCATGTCCGTCAGCATCGCACGCGTCCACAGTACTTCCTAAACGCATAGGCTTTAGAGCCATATACCCAGCTTCCGCTGAGCTGAGGGCAATTGTTCGTTGAAACTTAGACTTGAACACCACGGGAGAGTTTCCAATCATGATCATAACACCCGAGACAGAACGCCTGTCGTCGAGATTATATCCCCATTCCGCATCCGAGTAGGCTTCAGCTGAGACGCTGCTAGTACCACTTTTGTGGATGATCCCATGCTGGTGGGTCGTCTTAAAGTAGCGTAGAACACGTATAGCAGCGCTCCAATGCTGAAGCCTAGAATTATTGAGAAAACGAGAAAGTTTACTACGAATGCAATGTCCGGGCAAGTACACGTCGTGATGTACAGCAGGCATCCAATTAGGAACGGTAAGGTCTTGATTGCATCTTGCTTCATTCTGCATCCGATGCTGGCGATTGCGACTTTGGCAACTTTAGACCGGTTGCACACGGGTTGTCCACCGTCCTAGCGTTTTCTTGCCCAAACCGGTTTGCCACATCATCGATGTATCGCGTTTGCTTGATCATAAGCGTTCCAGCAGTCATGTCATGGTCGATCTCCATTCCCAGAATAAACTTCGCCGGTCCAAGCTCCTTCATCTTGAAGGCATTTTTGAGTGCGTCCTTCACGTCACTAATTTCATCACTAGTCTTTGCCGCAATGATCATATCATCGACGTAAAGGCAGACGTAAATGAAATTGCTCTTGGAACGCTTGGCATAGACGCACTGGTCCGCACCACAGCTCTTGAATCCGTACCCAAGAAATACACGATGAATGGTCTTGTTCCAGGCACTTGCAGCTTGCTTCAATCCATAAATGGCCTTGTTCAGCTGGCACACATAGTCCTGGGTGTTCTCAACTCCTATAGGTACCTCCATGTAGACACGGTCCTCCAACTCACTGTTAAGAAACGCTGTATCAGCGTCCAACTGTTCCATCTGGTACGCGAAAGCAGCGCAGACTGAGAGCACAACTCGAATCGAGTTCATGTTCGCCACAGGAGAGTACGTTTCAAAAAAATCCACTCCGTACTTCTGCTTGAAACCCTTCGCCACCAACCGCAATTTGAAGCGCACCACGCGACCGTTCTGGTCACGCTTCTTGGCGAACACCCATCTGCACCCAATGGTACGGATGGCCGTTCCTCGTGGAACTAATGTCCAGGTATCGTTCCGTTTATGAGATAGCAGTTCAGCATCCATGGCTTCACGCCACTGTGTTGAATCTTCACTGGCAATTGCCTGAGCGTATGTTGTAGGAAGATCCACTGTGTCAATGCTTGCTGCGTACGCGAGGACAGCTTCACCAATAAGGCCTCTTCATCGATCCTGACACGCTTTGGAGAGGACGGTCCATCACTTCCTTCCGATTTCCGTTCTTCCTCGTCGTCCGTCCCATTTTCAAGAAGGAAAACGGGTTTGCGAGGTCGTCTGTAACGGTTTGTCGGGGTATGGAACACCACTTGATCTTCCTCAAAGCTAGTAGGTGGTTTACGGTACGGTTCCAGCTCAAATCCAGTCGGAGCCGATTGTCCTTGCGGCATCAGCAGCGAAGGTATAGCATCCTGTTCCGGTTGCATGTCTCCATCTCTATGTCCGGTGCGTCGTTCGCAACGCCTTCCATTGGCTTCGCTTCAACGGGTTGACGTTCCAATGGTGCGAGCGTGACTTCATCATCGGCGTCTGTGCTAACATGAATAACTGTTTCGATCTGAGCAGGTAGTGTAACGTAGATACCACCCACCTCACGCTCGTCCAGCTTTACTGAGCGACACACTTTGATCTTGGAAGCGTCCAAGTCATAGACACGGTAACCCTTGACGTTTTCTGAGTATCCAAGCAGCAGACACCTAAAGCTCTTAGGTTCAAGCTTCGTCCTCTTTGCCTTGTCTATATGGGCGTAGCCGCGAGAACCAAATACGCGTAAGTGGTCTAATGTAGGCTTTACTTTAAAACCCAGCTCAAACGGTGTCACAGTTGCGTTTTGCGTGTTCGTGGAACGGTTGATCAGATATACCGCAGTATTGACTGCTTCAGCCCACCACTCCATTGAAACGCCCTTGTAGTGTAGCATACTTCGAGATTTCTCCATGATGGTACGGATCATCCGTTCTGCCAAGGACTATACGGGACAGTCCGTTGATGCACGATACCATTCAGCATACATATCTGGTTCACAAACTCCGTTCCATTATCCGATCGTAAACACTTAATGCGCTCTCCCCATTGCTTCTCATAGAACGTCTTGAACTCTCTTAGGCTTGATGGCCACCTCGCTCTTCTTCTTGGAGAAGTAGGCCGCAACGTAGCGCGAATAGTCGTCCACGAACGTCAGGACATACTTGGCACCACCTTTCGAAGGATTATTCATTGGTCCCATAATATCCGTGTAGACGAGCTCAAGAACGCGCGACGTTTTCGAGTTGAAACAATAAGGAAATGTAGCCATCGTCTGCTTCCTTTCATGCAACCGCAACATAAAGACTGGGTCGGTTGACTAATAGCCGGAACACCGTTCGTGCCATGACGTATCTTAATCAGAGCGTCTTGGTTGGAATGTCCCATGCGAGCGTGCCAAAGCTCTCACTTGCTGCCAGCCTCGACGTACTGAACGAATTGAGCTTCTTCGTGTTCACAGTCCAATATGTACGCCTTGCCCACCTTCTTACCCTTTGCAATTGCGCTAGCCGTGCCCCATATAACCCATGCGGATCGCTGGAACTCCACGTTCAGGCCACGATCAGCGAGCTTTCCCACTGACAATAGACGCCGATCAAAGCCCGGGATGTGAAGGACTTTAACCATCATAATCCGTTTACCGTCCAGTCCAATCAAGCGTACCGTACCACGGCCAGTGACCTGCAGCTTCATTCCGTCAGCGATTGTTACTTCGATGCCACTATTCACGTTCTCATACGCGAACAGATCAGAACGGTGCGGGGTCATGTGTGCGGTCGCTCCGCTGTCGATCACCCATCCGTTTACACGTTCTGTGCTTACAGCAAATACCGCATCTTCATCGCCATCTATTGTCCGTTCTTGACAGTCCCGCTTCATGTGCCCAACTTTGTTGCACTTAAAACAATTGCCTCGAAACCATTAGCGTTTTTCTTCTGATCGATCCACTTGCGACCACTCCTCTTGTTGCCTTTGAAACGTCCAGCGTTGACCTTAAATGCTCGTTCCGAAGTCGTGTTTTTTCTCTCCAACCGTTCACACTCCTTTAACAGCTTCTCTTCACCTCGATGAGCATGATGTCCTTGAAGTTTTCGATGGTAGATGGTATCAGCTCGTATTCGGCTGGAAGGCTGGTCAGTAGCACTACCAGCTGCCGTGCCTCGTCGACAGGCTTTCCAAGCGTCTGAAGACCGACAACGAGCTCGTCGAAGGCGTCCAAATGCTTTGCCATGGCCGTTCCAGTATCCATCTTGAACTCGTGGAGGCGCCGTGTCATCGTGACCCGATTGTGTAGTCTAGTTCGATTGTAGAACTATCTAAGCGTTACCCACGCTTGAAACACATGCGTAGATGAACGTATCTTTGTTTGGTGTTGCAGCTCCACACCCTGCGCGATGATGCCGAGAGCCTTCGCGTCATTTACTAACCAACTTCCGTTATCTCACTCTCCTCCTTGACCACCTCCACATGCACCAGCAGCCCTTTTCTGGCAAGGGTCATCTTCATATTAAACTCCCAGTGGAAATAATTTCCACTTCCTAGGAGGACTTCGGCGCGCTTGGTACTCATCATGTGCGAGGCGAGGCGTTCTTGGTCTTGACGCCGCTGTCCGAGTTGCGGCTGTTAACCTGTTGGGGTAGTTGGATGTAAAAGCCGAAGTGAATATATTTAAGGTCCTTAGTTCACTACCCTTAGCTAAGTCTAAGCCTTAATGTAACGACATCCTGTGATCTCATCATGTAACCGCGATCCATAACCTTCTTCCGTAATAACCACCATGAAACACCCTGACACAGAAATCATCACCATGAACCCAACATGAAACGACTGCACGAAGCGGCGTATTCTCAACAGATAGTTGACACAAATTTAAGATGGGCAAAGCAAAAGAAGCCGAAAATGTTAGTGTATTCAGGCAAAAATGTTAGTGCATCTAAAGTCTCCCGAGTTTACCTGGCCTCCCACCAAAACGATGCGACAGTCCGACGACGATACGACCCTCGTAGGAGATAGAACCACCTGGGCACGCGACAACTGGTAGCAAGCGTAGCAACGATAGAGCCAGATAGATCATAGACGCAAACGTTGCGTGCGAGATCGATCATCCGACACTCGAGGTCTGCTGCGTGCGATTGTAAGGGTAGATTCAATCTTGGATCCAGAGGACGCACAAACACTGGCGTCTTCTGCATACGAAGACGAACTCGTGAAGGTGCTCGACTACTTTACGTATTGATACTCCCAGTCCGCTAGTTGCATCGATCGCTTCTACTTATGCAATACATAGAATTTGATGGTTCAGCAGGTGCAAGTGCGGCTGTCAGTCAGTTTCTCGTATCATCAACAAATAACATAATACGTGTCATATAAAGGCCCACCCGTGCGCCATCGCGGTCAACCGCAGCCCGTTCTTTATTCGATCCGCACCTCGATGCTGACCCAAGTCTACGGTGACCGCGTGGATGAGCTAATACGCATGGGAATCGGGCGCAACGTCGACTCACGGTCACGAGATACAACTGTACAGAAGTGTGGCACGAGTATTAAGCGCATTGGTAAACGTAGCAATCAACGCTTGCACAGCTTGCACGTCGGATATTTCGGATGCAAGCGCGTAGAAATATTCTCAGCCGAAGCACCGTACTTCAGACAATTTAGGATGATCTTCGTGAGGTATAGACCATCTGTCACGGCTTACATTTTGAACGAACCATGAAGAGTCTGCGGTGGCAATTGTAAAGGCGCCTTAAACTGGGAAAAGGACCAAACTGCTACTAGGTTGCTTCAGATCCACGGGCAGCATTTTTGCCGTGAGGGCATGATAGCGAACCACTTCACATCAGAATGGAGCACGATTGTCGGCCGCCCTCACAACACAGTACCAAAAACGAAATTGAAGCAGGCCCTAAGCGACTTTATCAAAATGCCATCCGATCGCGTTCTCTCACCAGAAGACTACGCACAGCTAATGATGCTCATAACGCCCCCTGAAGTAATGACTGCCATCAGAGAGCATGACAGGCATAGATCTGCCGGCCTCGATGGACTGAGAAACGACTTTCTGAAATATTAGCAGGCGCTTCTGGCACATGTCCTTGTCACATTTGGCAGCGAGCTCTTACAAGGCCGGACCCCTTCTCATTCTTTTCTGGAAGGTCTGATTATCTCTCTACGAAATAAGAGTAAATTCTGTGGATGCAATGGATAACTCCTCATTCTTTTCTGGAAGGTCTGATTATCCCTCTACGAAACTAGGTAAATTCTGGGGATGCAATGGATTACTGACCCATCGCTATGCTACAGACAGCCCGCAAGGCTGTCGCTAAGACGATATCGCGTCGTGCCAAGACGTCATTAGAGCCCCGATTCAGGACACACAACAGGGTTTCGTCCATGACGGACAGATATCGATAACTGTCATAGTGATGATGGCTCATGTAACGTCGACGGCACATGAACCAGAGCGAGATGCAGCATCTAGCAGAGCCATTTTACTCCTAGATTTCCAAAAGGCATACGATACGGTATCGCGGGGATTTTTATCCGAAGTGATGCGGGCGTTCGGGCTTGATGGGGCTTTTATCACGATGGTACGACATCTACACACCAACACCACGGCGAGTTTTTTGTAATTGGTATTCTACCCGACCCTGCACCTGTTGGCACAGGGATCCGGCAGGGTTTGCCATTAGCGCCACTTCGATTTCTGCTGGCAGCTGAAATCCTAGCCATCACATTGTAACAAATGCCCACGTTCAAGGACTGCGGCATCCCCGATTTACTGGTCACAAGCAGAATTTCTTTGCTTTTGTTGATGACTCAACCATCTTTTTCAACGTGCAGATCAACTTTCCTATGTCATGGAAATTGTCCACCCGTTCGGTGAGCTGTCTGGATTCTGGGTGCAACGGAAGAAAAGTGTTCTCATTAGGTTTAATACGGCGGTGGACGTCGCAGACTACGCCAGAATTTCGGTGCTTTGTCACGGCGCTACGACTCGATACTTGGGGTATAAAGTGGTGACATAAAACATGGTGGGTGCCAATTGGGCTTTACGCTTACGAAACATCAGAAAGCGCCTTGCGACGGCGGCTACCATCTCTTCGAGCGCGGCCGTCCGGATTTTTCTGCTGGATTCTATTATGCTGCCAGTAGTATCATTCACATCGGCCGTCTTTCGGTTACCAGACTGGACCAGGGGCGAATTACATAACCTTTAGAAGCAATTTTTGAGGAATCATTCAACGTCCATGGACAGGAACAGACACAGAGTTAATTCAGGGCTACTTTACACGCCACGAGGAGCAGGAGGAATAGGGCTCATCTTCGTTGACGTTGCCGTATGTACACAAAAATTTGAAGCACGCATTGTAGTGGCTTATACGGAAACCCGATCGCTATTTACAGGCGTGGGTAGCGTGGCCGTTCCAGCATCCTTCCGCCGCCAAGACGTGAGTTTATCCCCGGCTTTTCCACCCCGCCGGTGCAGCCCCAAATCTCGAAGTCCTCAGCCGAACATCAGCACGAAAACTATGATCTTGACTTGCACCCGAGAGGAAGGAATAGGAGAAGGTCAAAAGGAACCAAAGGAACTCCATACAGGGGATGCAGGATCACCTCGTTGCCACTAGGATGGGCCGGAGTCTCTCGCTGCAACTTCACGACGGGATACCGATCCTTGCAGATAGGTTCACACATGAGCACATGACTTACTGGTCTGCTTATCAATGGGATTTAAAATCGTGGATCTTGGATGAAAGGGTCGGATCCTTTCAACGAGTCTAAACCCCCTGTTGAAGGCCTGCATCCTCGCGGACTTAAAAATCACGCGAGTGTCAGCATTAGATTACCAGGTCACACTTCCCAGTACGGAAGCAGACAAGTTCTGTACGATCCCGAAATTAGGTCCGTGGCTACCTGCAATCATAGTAGCCAGCCCTGGTCTATCAGTGGGAGGCACAGTTAAAATTCTGCCACAGCTACAGCTGCGACATGGACTGGAGGTGCTTCAAGATGGTGTGAAGTCTTGTGTGATCCTTCACCATACGGATAACGGTATCCACTGGGCCATACACCGAGTTTCAATGGTGCTTCCGGACGTCAAACTGGAGTTGATCCGCTTTTAACAGCGGAATCACAAACGAGCTTTTATTTTCGCAGCGCATCCGCGACCGTATCGGTATCCATGATTTCTCAACCCAACCATCAATAACAAGCACGCCATCAAGGCGTTGCAACAACACTCTTTTCTCCAAGCTGAACGGTATTTATACCCAGCGCTGACGGAGACGGTTCGACGTCTTCAAGAGCAAGTTAACGCGGTCGCCAGAGCGGGATACCCACTCCAACAGCTCCCGACACAGACCTGAGCTCACAGACACGCCTTGACAGACTACCACGTCTGGGTCTTCTGTTGGATCGCTACCCATCAGTTAAATCGATACTACCCGGGCCGAGCATAAGACTCATCATGCACACGTTATATAGCTTGACGAGAACAGCATGAAGGGACTATTCATATTATCTGGGACTGCGAGGGGAGCGGTGAAGGGGTTGGGCCTATATTGTGGCTCATTGGACACGGATGGTTGTCCATACCGCACACTCACGTACAAAGCAGCAGTGCTATCTCGAACAGCACCGGATCCACCTCCCGGTGTCAAAGCGGAGATCGGCCGCCTGTTTCCGGACACGGCGAGGGAGATCAGCAGAGCTTGGGAACGAATCTAGTAAATAGAGTGCTCCATCTGCCTCGTCACTCTATGGGCACAGTGGAACCGCTGGGTGCACAATCACGAGGAAACAACAACCGTCGACCAAGCGCAACCCAAACTATGACAGACACTACTTCGACAGCTACAAGCCTGTAGCGGCCAGTGAACGCCGGTTCAACCGCAACGGGACGACTGTATTTTTTTCACGCTAGCGGTAGAACCCTTTTTCACCCCGGTTTCTCCGCGACCGTTTACTCAATATGACCCTGGACGGCAGCTCACACCACCGGTAGGGGTGCGCGAGCGGCAAAGGAATTCTCGGCAATCTTGTCAACCGTAAGGGCAATAGGACAGTCTGTTACTCTCTCAACGTTTGATCGTGGTATCGTGGAGGACGGCCGACCACATGAGGGCCGATCCATTCTTTGTTTGACACACCTCGTTGTGACGGAACGCGCCATTTGACGGGACACGCCGTTCATCGTCCAGACGTTTTCAACTGTGACGGAGCGCGCCATGTCTTGTCCCGTCTCAACGAGCTGTGTCAAACAAAGAATGGATCGGCCCTCATGTGGTCAGCCGTCCTCCACGATACCACGATCAAACGTTGAGAGAGTAACAGACTGTCCTATTGCCCTTACGGTTGACAAGATTGCCGAGAATTCCTTTGCCGCTCGCGCACCCCTACCGGTGGTGTGAGCTGCCGTCCAGGGTCATATTGAGTAAACGGTCGCGGAGAAACCGGGGTGAAAAAGGGTTCTACCGCTAGCGTGAAAAAAATACAGTCGTCCCGTTGCGGTTGAACCGGCGTTCACTGGCCGCTACAGGCTTGTAGCTGTCGAAGTAGTGTCTGTCATAGTTTGGGTTGCGCTTGGTCGACGGTTGTTGTTTCCTCGTGATTGTGCACCCAGCGGTTCCACTGTGCCCATAGAGTGACGAGGCAGATGGAGCACTCTATTTACTAGATTCGTTCCCAAGCTCTGCTGATCTCCCTCGCCGTGTCCGGAAACAGGCGGCCGATCTCCGCTTTGACACCGGGAGGTGGATCCGGTGCTGTTCGAGATAGCACTGCTGCTTTGTACGTGAGTGTGCGGTATGGACAACCATCCGTGTCCAATGAGCCACAATATAGGCCCAACCCTTCACCGCTCCCTCGCAGTCCCAGATAATATGAATAGTCCCTTCATGCTGTTCTCGTCAAGCTATATAACGTGTGCATGATGAGTCTTATGCTCGGCCCGGGTAGTATCGATTTAACTGATGGGTAGCGATCCAACAGAAGACCCAGACGTGGTAGTCTGTCAAGGCGTGTCTGTGAGCTCAGGTCTGTGTCGGGAGCTGTTGGAGTGGGTATCCCGCTCTGGCGACCGCGTTAACTTGCTCTTGAAGACGTCGAACCGTCTCCGTCAGCGCTGGGTATAAATACCGTTCAGCTTGGAGAAAAGAGTGTTGTTGCAACGCCTTGATGGCGTGCTTGTTATTGATGGTTGGGTTGAGAAATCATGGATACCGATACGGTCGCGGATGCGCTGCGAAAATAAAAGCTCGTTTGTGATTCCGCTGTTAAAAGCGGATCAACTCCAGTTTGACGTCCGGAAGCACCATTGAAACTCGGTGTATGGCCCAGTGGATACCGTTATCCGTATGGTGAAGGATCACACAAGACTTCACACCATCGAGGTGTACTTAGCTTATCCCAAGAGCAACGCCCGGTCGACTAAATGTCCGTATAATTTCTTGAAGCGCCTCCAGTCCATGTCGCAGCTGTAGCTGTGGCAGGATTTTAACTGTGCCTCCCACTGATAGACCAGGGCTGGCTACTATGATTGCAGGTAGCCACGGACCTAATTTCGGGTTCGTACAGAAATTGTCTGCTCCCGTACTGGGAAGTGTGACCTGGTAATCTAATGCTGACACTCGCGTGATTTTTAAGTCCGCGAGGATGCAGGCCTTCAACAGGGGGTTTAGACTCGTTGAAAGGATCCGACCCTTTCATCCAAGATCCACGATTTTAAATCCCATTGATAAGCAGACCAGTAAGTCATGTGCTCATGTGTGAACCTATCTGCAAGGATCGGTATCCCGTCGTGAAGTTGCAGCGAGAGAGTCCGGCCCATCCTAGTGGCAACGAGGTGATCCTGCATCCCCTGTATGGAGTTCCTTTGGTTCCTTTTGACCTTCTCCTATTCCTTCCTCTCGGGTGCAAGTCAAGATCATAGTTTTCGTGCTGATGTTCGGCTGAGGACTTCGAGATTTGGGGCTGCACCGGCGGGGTGGAAAAGCCGGGGATAAACTCACGTCTTGGCGGCGGAAGGATGCTGGAACGGCCACGCTACCCACGCCTGTAAATAGCGATCGGGTTTCCGTATAAGCCACTACAATGCGTGCTTCAAATTTTTGTGTACATACGGCAACGTCAACGAAGATGAGCCCTATTCCTCCTGCTCCTCGTGGCGTGTAAAGTAGCCCTGAATTAACTCTGTGTCTGTTCCTGTCCATGGACGTTGAATGATTCCTCAAAAATTGCTTCTAAAGGTTATGTAATTCGCCCCTGGTCCAGCCTGGTAACCGAAAGACGGCCGATGTGAATGATACTACTGGCAGCATAATAGAATCCAGCAGAAAAATCCGGACCGCCGCGCTCGAAGAGATGGCAGCAGCCGTCGCGAGGCGCTTTCTGACGTTTCGTATGCGTAAAGCCCAATTGGCACCCACCATGTTTTATGTCACCACTTTATACCCTAAGTATCGAGTCGTAGCGCCGTGACAAAGCACCGAAATTCCGGCGTAGTCTGCGAAGTCCACCGCCGTATTAAACCTAATGAGAACACTTTTCTTCCGTTGCACCCAGAATCCAGACAGCTCACCGAACGAATGGACAACTTCCATGACATAGGAAAGTTGATCCGCACGTTGAAAAAAGATGGTTGAGTCATCAACAAAAGCAAAGAAATTCTGCTTGTGACCGGGAAATCGGGGATGCCGCAGTCCTTGAACGTGGGCATTTGTTACAATGTGATGGCTAGGATTTCAGCTGCCAGCAGAAATCGAAGTGGCGCTAATGGCAAACCCTGCCGGATCCCTGTTCCAACAGGTGCAGGGTCGGGTAGAATACCAATTACAAAAAACTCGCCGTGGTGTTGGTGTGTAGATGTCGTACCATCGTGATAAAAGCCCCATCAAGCCCGAACGCCCGCATCACTTCGGATAAAAATCCCCGCGATACCGTATCGTATGCCTTTTGGAAATCTAGGAGTAAAATGGCTCTGCTAGATGCTGCATCTCGCTCTGGTTCATGTGCCGTCGACGTTACATGAGCCATCATCACTATGACAGTTATCGATATCTGTCCGTCATGGACGAAACCCTGTTGTGTGTCCTGAATCGGGGCTCTAATGACGTCTTGGCACGACGCGATATCGTCTTAGCGACAGCCTTGCGGGCTGTCTGTAGCATAGCGATGGGTCAGTAATCCATTGCATCCCCAGAATTTACCTAGTTTCGTAGAGGGATAATCAGACCTTCCAGAAAAGAATGAGGAGTTATCCATTGCATCCACAGAATTTACTCTTATTTCGTAGAGAGATAATCAGACCTTCCAGAAAAGAATGAGAAGGGGTCCGGCCTTGTAAGAGCTCGCTGCCAAATGTGACAAGGACATGTGCCAGAAGCGCCTGCTAATATTTCAGAAAGTCGTTTCTCAGTCCATCGAGGCCGGCAGATCTATGCCTGTCATGCTCTCTGATGGCAGTCATTACTTCAGGGGGGCGTTATGAGCATCATTAGCTGTGCGTAGTCTTCTGGTGAGAGAACGCGATCAGATGGCATTTTGATAAAGTCGCTTAGGGCCTGCTTCAATTTCGTTTTTGGTACTGTGTTGTGAGGGCGGCCGACAATCGGGCTCCATTCTGATGTGAAGTGGTTCGCTATCATGTCCTCACGGCAAAAATGCTGCCCGTGGATCTGAAGCAACCTAGTAGCAGTTTGGTCCTTTTCCCAGTTTAAGGCGCCTTTACAATTGCCACCGCAGACTCTTCATGGTTCGTTCAAAGTGTAAGCCGTGAAAGATGGTCTATGCCGCACGAAGATCATCCTAAATTGTCTGAAGTACGGTGCTTCGGCTGAGAAGATTTCTACGCGCTTGTATCCGAATTATCCGACTGTAACGGGGTGAATCGTTACATAACAATTCATAAGAAATTGTTAATAGAATATAACTATAAGAGTTGTATTCTCATAATATTGTCATAAGGACAAATATTCTGTAGCACTTACGAGTAGTTCCTAATTGGTGGATATAGGCCATTATATCAACCAACGAAGACGCGCCACGACAGACGCACGCAATGAGTGGTCAGCAGATGGTTGATGTACACATTTGTATTTAGACATAGTTAGATGAAGATAAATAGTGATTTATTGACAGACATTTACTATGATAAATACAGTTCTACTTTTTACTTTGACCAAGTACTCGCTTCTCCTTACCGTCTTCCTCTGCACGTACCAGTGTACGTGAAGTTACGAGGCACCGCCTTATTCTTTCGTCAGAATAAGTAGCTTGTACTGTCATCAGTACAAGCTTCAGGGTGCCCCGTTACACCTGGTAGCACTTCGTAGTCCGTCCAAGGACCACGTTCACATCTAACATGAATATGTTGGATGATGAAGATGATCAAAGCTTTCACGCTACGCGTGACGGCTACTCCCATTTGAGCGATGTCGAATGGGATGCGGTTGAACGAATGGGTTCAACCATGGGCATCCATGCTGTTAGCGTCATGCTAGAGGCTCTCAATAGAGATGCCCAACATGCTACTATCGCCAAGTTCATTCAAAATGAACTTGACGCCGATCGCGAGAAAGTAGCCTTGCTTCACCAACAAGGTTCTCAACAAGCAGAGTTGTTGAGAGAACAGGGTGCTCAACAGTTTGAACTGTTGAGACAGCAGCAGGCTGCTGCTGGCGGGTCGATGCACTTGCGTCGACCCGAAACCTTGAAGATTGACATCTCCAAGTATAGGGGAGTCGAAGAGGACTCCCTCTTGAGATGGTTCGTCGAATTGGATGACGCCATAAGGGCGCGTCGCATCGACGACGGGGATATGCAAGTTGCATTTGCCCAATCAAATCTGGCAGGACGTGCCAAGACTTGGGCTTTGGGGCTCAAGTTGCACGACCCATATGCGTTTGGGTCGTTGGAAGTCTTCAAGTCGCGGCTCAGACAAACGTTTGAACCGCCTAGAGCTGAGTTCAGAGCTCGAACTGAACTCTTGAAGCTCAGACAAGGTAAGCGTGATGTGCACGCTTACGCCCAACATGTACGACACCTCACGAGTTGTACAAGTTCCAACCTGGTTGATGAAAGCACGTTGGGTTCGGTGTTCATGCAGGGTCTTGCGGATGGTCCCGTCAAGACTCACCTGTTCCGACTTGAACTAGATTCACTAGAACAAGCCATTTCCATTGCGGAATAGGAAGACTTCAGTCTGAGACAGACTCGCGCCAGCTCGACATCATATCGTCAACCGAGACGATATGACAGCGGAGGTCCAGAGCCGATGGAACTCTGTTATGTAGAGAGCGAGAAGGCTCGCTCTACAGACTACAAGAAGTTGCAGAGATGCAACAGATGTCAAAAGACAGGACACTACGCTTACGAGTGTAGTGCCCCTCGTCCAGTGTCTCGCAACACTGGGCGTAATGACCGTCCACCCATGAGAAAGGGGCAGGGACGCGGGTCCGCTGTTGGTTCAAAGACGCAACAACGGGATGGACCGTCAAAAAACAGACAAGATCAGTAGGTGCGGAGCACCCTACTGGTCCAGCAACGTCAAGAGAATTTGTAGGCCTCTTGATGAAGGTTGCTCCCAACATACAAACATTGTGCGTTGCTGCTCTAGGTAATGAGATCTCACTCATTACCTTAAAACTCGAAGTGAAAAATAAGGTGTCCCTTCGAGCTCTAGTCGATTGTGGGGCGTCCAACAATTTTGTGCGACGCCAATCGCTAGAAGATGGTCACTTTAAATTCAGTGAATGTGACACACCTCCTACGAGGATGACGGTACGTCTTGCGACAGGCGCATCCGTAACCGTCATGAAGCGTATAGTGAAGATCCACTATACGCTAGAAGATACCCAATATGACGATGACTTTATCGTATTGGATTTGGATGACAAATTTGATGTCATCCTTGGAATACCGTGGCTCAGAAGGTACGAACCACGGGTAAACTGGCAACATCGAACAGTAACGATGCCTGTCGCTTGTTCATCAGATGGCCATCTGATGAACGTTTTGGAGCGTCCACAAGCGTGTGGATGTACTACGAGTGAGTGCGATGGCCTCACTTGTGGTACGGTCGTTAGTACGACTGCACAAAACCTTAGTGTAACAAACGGTTACACTTCGGAGCAAAGTTCCGGCGGCTGTGAGGAAACACAGGCTGCGCCGAAGGTCCACCACTCGAATAAGTCGGGTGGACCGGGACAAAGATGTATCCCTAGCGGGGAACATCTAGAAGAGAAACAATCGATCGCTCAGGTTAAGCGAAACGATAATCCTAGATCGACTGGAGAGTCTTTCGTAGAGGATCTCGCTGTGGTTGCGCAACCCCAGCTAGAGGAAGTTAAGGGAATAAGTCCCAATATTACAAATACGGCGGAAATAAGTTCCCCGAAACCCGCGGGAATAAGTCCCCGGGAAGCCGAAGGAATAAGTCCTTCGAGGCCTGAGGGAATAAGTCCCCAGGAAATGACAGAGACATTGAATGTCATAGTCAATAACGGATCAAGTGTAGGCGCTTATACACTTGATCTGATTGCGCCTCCGAAGTTGACTTCGGAGATCAATCAGTTGCCAACGCTCAAACATAAAAGGTTCTTGCGTGGTCTGCGTAGTGGCTAAGTCAAGCAGATCTGCGTACTCGTCGCTGACGACGAGTGTGTAACCGACATAAGGTCAGCAACAGTGTTTACGGAGAACGAGAGAGTTCTCAGTAGTTCATCTATGGACGAGAGTGTCCTGGATGAAAAGACACGAATTGAGCGATATGACTCCCAATCGTGGGAATCGCTCAAGACAAATCCTCTCTATGAAGATTTGGTTGAATTCAAGGATGTATTCCCTGAAACTGTTCCGTGCGAATTACCGAAGGATAAAGGTATTCGACACGAGGTCGAGCTTAAACCAGGCTCGAAGTACTGTGTCATGAAGCAGTGGCCACTGCCTCGTGAACAAGTACTTGCGATCGACAAGTTCTTTGCCGATCGTTTAGCTGCGGGCCATGTGAGGGAATCAACTTCCCCACATAGCTCTCCGACCTTCTGTGTGCGAAAAGCAACAGGAGGGTGGCGGATAGTGCATGCATTTAACAAGTTGAATGCTGCAATGGTACCGGCTCAGACGCCGATACCGAGGAAGGACGTAATCATTGATGGTATGTCAAAGAGTACCATCTTTTCGTCCATGGATTTGATGGATGGCTTCTATCAAATCCTCATGCGAGAACGGGATATACCCTATACCGCAGTTAGCACGCCTAGCGGCATGCTCTGGGAATGGCTAGTAATGCCACAAGGGCTTAGTAATGCCCCTGCCACGTTCAACAGATGTGTATCACATCTGTTGAGACCAGTGCGAGAATTCGCACCGAGTTTTTTCGATGACGTATTCATTCATAATCGGGCAATAAATGGAAATTCGGACGTTGAGATTCACAGATGTCACGTCCGACAGGTTCTTACAATCATGCGAAAGCATCAATTGTATGCAAACCTCAAGAAGTGTATATTTGCAGCAAGCGAAATACCACTTCTTGGGTGCATCTTTGGTAATAACGGTGTACGTCCTGATCCCGAAAAGATCAAGGCGATCACCGACTGGCCTGTGCCGGTTGATGTCAAAGGTCTTCGAAAATTCCTTGGGCTAGCGGCGTATGTGCATAAGTATTCACGCAATTACGCAGAGATGACTGTGCACCTCTCTCGTTTGTTGAAAAAGAGTGAGAGGTGGTTATGGAACGCTGAATGTCAGCGCTCCTTTGATGGTATCAAGCAGAGCTTGATACAATCCCCAGTCCTAGCAATAGCCGACCAGGACAGGCCATTTCATGTGGTCTGTGATGCCAGCGATTTCGCAATCGGCTGTGCAATAATGCAGTGCGATCTTGAAGGCGTCGAACGCGTCGTCTGCTATCAGTCGCGTCAGCTGCCACCAGCTGAGCGGAACTATCCAGTGCATTACAAGGAACTCCTTGCCATGAAGTATGCACTCGCGAAGCTCAGAGTCTATCTATTAGGAGATAGACCCTTCATTGTTTACACAGACCATGCGTCGTTACGCACGGCAGTGAACAGCCCGCACCTTTCACAACGAATGGCGCGGTGATTGTCATTCTTTGCAGAATACAACTTTACGGTAGAGTACAAACCAGGACGACTTAATGTCGTCGCTGATGCACTCTCACGTCGGCCCGACTTTGAACCAGTCGTGAAACCCGACAGTGAGACAGCCACTGTTGCGGTTATGACGTCCTCAGTCCCATCTTCAACGTTGCATGATGATGTGAGGCGGGCGGAAGCCCAAGATGGTGAGATTGTGAAGTTGTTGACACATCTCCCACAGCCATCTCGAGAGTCGTTGAAACGATTGTCGCCTGCGTATCTATCTGCATCAGATCGATACACTACTCGCAGCGGGTTACTGTATTACACAGCCGTTTCTGGTGACACATCACGTGTTGTCATTCCAGATGATACTGATCTGCGTTTGCGGATCATGTTCGAGTATCACGATGCTCCTATAGGAGGACATCGTGGCCGGGAGAAAACATATCTCACGGTGAGTCGAGACTTTTACTGGCCAGTATCAGTTTGTGCGAAAGTATGTTCGCGCATGCGAAGTCTGCCAACGAGTGAAGTCAAGTCCTTCACTGCGTGCACCTTTACAGCCTCTACCGGTTCCGGCTGAGTGCTGGGAATCCATCTCAATGGATTTCGTCTTCGGGTTACCCAAAGACGCACGCGGGAATACGGGTATTCTCGTATTTGTTGACAGATTCAGCAAAATGGTACACCTTGTGGCTGTACCAGAGACAATCACGGCAAGTGGCTGTGCTTGTGTCTTTATCGCCACCATCTTCCGACTTCATCGGTTGCCTCGTGAACTCGTATCAGACAGAGATCCACGATCCACTGCTGATTTCTGGCGTTCCGTGTTCAAATCACTCGGAACGCGCTTGAAGATGCCGACATCTGATCATCCAGAGTCAGATGGTCAGACGGAACGAGCCAATCGTGTCCTCGAAGAGATACTTCGAGGATACGTACACTCTTTTAAGAGTTGGAGTGACTTCTTGCCAATGGTAGAGTTTGCCACTAACAACTCGGTGCATGCGTCCACGACACATACACCGTTTTACGTGAATGGCTTACGCCATCCGCGTGTACCCACCTTACTAGAAGTGTAACTCTGGTTTAAGGGGGGGAGGGAATCGCGCGAGCAAAAACCGATTTGTTTCACGCTCATCACGCTCTGACGAAGAGGTTATTTGCGTTTGATGCCGATATCGGTGACATCGATATCGAAGAAGATGATGCCAGTGAGAGTGCGGAATCCCTCACTGAAGAAGATCATGCCAGTGAGAGTACGGAAGCCCTCACTGAAGAAAAGATCGATGTTGCTGCGGTGCGCTCACAGCGCACTGAAGCTAACGAGTCAGCAGATGAGTTCATACTGGCTCGTGAAGCGGTAGTCCGTTTTGTGCAAGACTTTATCGCCGAAGCGGTGGATAAGCAAAAGCAACACGCTGACAAGAATGGAAGGGCAAACACTCTTTTATTTAATAAAGGTGACTTAGTCCTACTGTCTACGGTTAATCTACCAAAGCATGTAGTGACTAACTTGGGTAGCAGTAAACTACTACCCAATTACATTGGCCCATTTCGTGTATTGCATCGCCTAGGCAATGCATACACGATCGAGTTGCCACGTAAGACGCGAACGCATCCCACGTTTTACATTGGTCGGCTTAAGCCGTACCATCAGTACGCTGCTTCTTCCGAAAAAGAACGCCCTTGCGCTCAAGCATCTCACAGAGAGCCTTGTGCTCCCGATGGTGGGCATCGACAAGGGTCTGAAGAGCAGTTATCTCAGCCCGATACCGGTCAATATCCACACGAGCTATCCTTAGCTCGTCACGCAGAGATGTAAAAGCTCTCTCGTTCTCAAGCTGAGCAAAGGCAAACTCAGCTCGATGCTTCGAGACAGTGTCCGCCAGTTGAAGACGCCTGTCCCGCTCATGCTCTATATCGCCGCGTCCCGCATGAGTTACACGATCAAAGAGGCTCTCAGGGACACACTCTCCCCCACGATAGCTTGGAGAGAGATTTCCCTCCTCCTCTACCTCCATTGGAGGACTCTCGCGGTGGCCAGCGCTATCTGGTTGAGCGGCTGTTGAACCACCCCGATGTGAACGGACGTCGGACGAGTTACCTCGTCCGGTGGCGCGGCTATCCCCCGTCCTGGGATACTTGGAAGCCCCGCTCCCAACTGATGATTGACGTTCTGGGTCTGGTCAAGCAGTACGACGTGGCACATCCTGTGCTGCAGAAGGACCACCGGAGAAAGTCTTCCCGGCACGGTCATAAAGGGATTTCAGGTTGTCAATCCCTTCGTGTGCATCTTAGCAGAGATACGTACGCGCCACCACGGGCTATTAGGGAGGTAAGCCTCCTTAGGTGCGCGCGCTGAGTTGTTCACACAACACGGGCACGAGTCTCCCCAAGAGAGGCAGGGTAACCCTTTCTCCCTAGACAGACGATGCAGCTTATAGCGTGCACCTGTCGGGGTTTGCTTTTCAAAATTATCACGAGCTTTGATAAGTTTGTCGTTCCAAGCGTCACGACCTACATCCTCAAGGTTGTGGATGTAGGCGTTCCACGCCTGAAGCAGTGAGGGACCATCACGCTCGTGATTCCCACTGTACCATCAATGTCTAAAGAAAGCATCGATGAAGAACTCATTTTCAGTGTGACAGTCTTTCACACTGGGGTCAAGGTGATGGTTCCTTGATGAATCGAACAATTATGTTCGATAGCGGTCACTTATCGTCGCCGACAAGTGATCCATGACAGATTTAGGAGGCATCCATGCCTTCTTCTCAGGAGCGAGACGCAACACATTGCGGTCCCGCTCTTCCTGCGATGTGCCGACAGAAGGACTGGCACCTCGTTGCGAAGTGGTGTCCATAGGAGAACCGACACCACTGTTAGCGCCCGAGTCTCGCGACCTCGAGCGCCTTCGCTTCGGCGATAATTCATCTGATTCGTCAGATGAACCAAAGATGCTACGACGCATAGCATCATCCATGCCACGCTTGGCAGGCGGCTTGGTTTCAGCCGCCTTCAATACGGATCCGTCTTCCGTATCAGGAGAGTATGAGACACCGAGCTCATACTCTGTGAAGACATGAGTGTCTTCATGACCAGCTCCTGCATCACCAAGTGATACAGGCTGAGTCGCTTCAGCAACCGATGGATCATCGGTTGCAGCGGTTTCTGCTTCGGTTCTGCAGCACAGAGACGTGCAGACGCGCTCTCGGTGGCCTTGTTCGCGCACCGCATGGGCTTGTTAACCATGCGATGAAATGTTGGAAAGTGGACTCGGACCAACAAGTGCAAACCCTGTCCCAAATGATTTGGGACGAGTATCCATTTAGTCAATCAGTCACTAAAGTGACTGATGGTTTAGGGGGGGTGATGTAACGGGGTGAACCGTTACATATTCTTATATTGCAGCACTTACGAGTAGTTCCTAATTGGTTGATGTAGGCCATTTTATCAACCAACGAAGACGCGCCACGACAGACGCACGCAATGAGTGGTGGGCAGATAGTTGATGTACACATTTGTATTTAGACATAGTTAGATGAAGATAAATAGTGATTTATTGACAGACATTTACTATGATAAATACAGTTCTACTTTTTACTTTGACCAAGTACTCGCTTCTCCTTACCGTCTTCCTCTGCACGTACCAGTGTACGTGAAGTTCCGAGGCACCGCCTAATTCTTTCGTCAGAATAAGTAGCTTGTACTGTCATCAGTACAAGCTCCAGGGTGCCCGTTACACCTCGAGTGTCGGATGATCGATCTCGCACGCAACGTTTGCGTCTATGATCTATCTGGCTCTATCGTTGCTACCCTTGCTACCAGTTGTCGTATGCCCAGGTGGTTCTATCTCCTACGAGGGTCGTTTCGTCGTCGGACCGTCGCATCGTTTTGGTGAGAGGCCAGGTAAAACCGGGAGACTTTAGATGCACTAACATTTTTGCCTGACTACACTAACATTTTCGGCTTCTTTTTGCTTTGCCTATCTTAAATTTGTGCCAACTATCCATTAGGCCTAATTATCGTATTGCCAACAGGGGTTAAGCGAAGGGCCACTTTCGCGATCCCCGGTGATGGTGTCCGTCATCAGAATCGACATCAACTCGTTCACACACGTCATCGTTCATTTATCCGTCAACGTAGTGATATCGCCTTAGTACGAATGTGTTCTTAACCATGGGTACGGCTTTCTAAAACATTTCTAGCTCAGCACGGCTTACCGCAGACACAGAGAGGCACAATCCTCAAAGGAAGTGGGCGGCATTAAACAACACATTGGAAGCTGATCGCATATCCTAGCCCTGTTCTTAGCAAGAATTCCATGCAAACAAGTAAAATGTGGCCGTACTTGCTCATAAATAACTCGAAGCGACAAGATTGCATATTCGTGAGTCCTCATACATCAGCTTCAGCCAAATGCACCATGACGAATTTGGCGTCGGTAACGCTCTTTCCACATTGTGCACTGCTCCACCGGTAGCATGGTCTTGGTGTTTACATCAGTATGGAAGTCATTACCGCCTTTATGCAATGACGACGTCGACTAGATTTTCGTCGGGTGCGTTCTTTTCAAGCCCGAGCCGGGGATCGAAGCAATAGAAGCCTTTGTAGTGTTACGATCTTGAAAGTCTATGGGACGGTCGTGAGATTACCTGCATCTAGAAGCTCCGTGTTTATCGTGGTACATCGTAGAGAAACGCGTATAGTCCTACGCATATTGATGAGGAGAATGTTAACGGAGAAGCCTTGGCTGATGGTGTACTTCTTGGCAGTGTCAATGGCTTTCTTCTGACGAGCAAAGGGACGTGCTAGTAAAACTTCATCGCATCTCCACTCAGCAGCGAAAAAAGCATCATCAACAACAGTAGAAGCAGCCATGCCAGACGAGGGAGGTAAAATGGATCTACATCCTGATGAGAATAATGAGGGGTTATTGAAGAAGGAACGGTCGATAACCATGGCACATCGCTTAATCTCTGCTGGCAATGTAAAACTAGGCCTAATGGACAGCCGGCACATTTTGGGATGGGCGAAGCAAAAAAGGCCGAAAATGTTAGTGTTTCCCGGCAAAAGTGTTAGTGTATCTAAAGTCCCCGGTACAGCCGGCTAGGTGAATAGTTCAGCTTACTACAATAACAACGAGTAGCCTAGACACAGTCCCGTCGTAGTGCTTACTGTACTTTGATGGCAGAACTACCTTCAAGATTTGCCGCACACTTTTCCACTGTTTTTAGGTGGAGTGTGTACATTTAGTTATTCTAACGATCGACGTCTGTTCTCTTTGGCAAAGCCTACACATCCCCAACCGGATGGCCACTACTTACCGTATTCTCTGAGGGACAGCCATTCCAATGACCCTAATTGTATTCGATGTCGGGGGGGGGTATTCTTCTACGAGAATATGAGCTCAGTGGTACCGGGATTCACGGGTGGTACAGCTGATACTTATGTGTCACACGTTTTAGACGACCTTGGGTTGGTCGTACAAGGTATCGAACCGGCAATCAAGTGCTAGAAAGGCGGTGCTCACCCGAAGGCACCAGGGGGCCAAGGTACCAAAAGGGAACCCTACGCTTTCAACTGTGCTAAAACTTTACGTGACTTCGCATAAATTGGCTTTCGGCCGCAAAAACGAGCTTCAAGATGGAAAGGCAAGCTTTGGAGATCGCTCTTTGAAAAAGGTAATTCAGTTCGCGGAACCAGATTAAGTTCTGTACACTCGCGTTCTCATTTAGGGTGTTCAGCGTCTGAGGAATGAGTTGTGTTGCTGTGTGTAAATAGCTGAAAGTGCTGACGGATTGATCTTGAAACACTACTTGTTGATGTTTGTTGGTTTAAAAAAAGAGGCGAATATGATGAAATTTGAACGGAGGATGATCCTGATTACGCGACCAAAAACAAAGGGCAGACGGTGTAATAGAATGGATCAATGAAATAATATGTATCATTAAGTTATTTTAGCTGGAATGGATTCCTCTTCCACCGCGAGAGGAATGTGACTATACGCTCTTCTTTATTCATCAGAAGAACTTAAGAAGAAAGCCACTTTACATTTACATGTCTACGACAGGCGCGAGACTTTTGCTTCCCAACGTGTCGCACATTTTCTTGTTAGATTGTCCCCCTTGTCCAGTTTGAGCCAATCTTGTGCGAGTAAAATATTTATATCTTACACTTTCTATGGGGTAGCTACTCATGACCTAAGGGTAGAGATGCACCTACAATGTAGATCTACCTAAGGTTTAGGAGATGTAGCGGAGCTACCCTTACTCCTTTGTCATAGTAAGGCTTCTAGACTCGTAGGGTCTGTTAGTATATTAAATCAAACGGTCATTAGTTTAAAGAGACTTAAGTTGCACATACTTCGTGAGACTTAACTTTGAGTGTATGTACAAGCTCTTCAGCTTCTAGTTCTAATTCAGGGGACTACGACTACAAGGAATCATGTGGTGCTAATGATTAGAGTGCTTAGCCTTAACTCAGGCACTTAACCCTTACGACCAGATACGTCTTGGAAAAAAACGGAAAGAAACGTGTCTGAAATTGATCAAATGGGTACCTGAATATATTTACTGATTTATAGCGATGATAAACCTTACTCACTTCTTTGACCCTAAAACTATGCTACCTAACTGAATATGTCTCACCGTAATTATTCTTGTGCATCACAAGAGAACTACACCGCCTCTATGAAGACTACTTAACAATAGATATGCTCTAAGCATTGACAATAGGAAACAACATTATCGCTTTTCGTATGTGATACAAAAGAATGCCTTATTTGTGACACTGATCTCATTCTCTGTGTACCACACCGATGCATCTGGTTATCACAACCATGTATGTAACTGCGTTACACCCTCTCCTAATAAACAGTCATTACCCCGTATCGTTCTTCTTTACCTTTTTCATTAAGATAGCTCGGATAGAACAGACAACATCACGGTTGTGTTTACGGCACCTTGCACATCAATTGGCGGAGGCTTCGCGTTTCATGAGTCTTTGTAAGACATTTTGAGAGAAGAAAACATCGCTACTTATGACAGCGACACTGTCGTGGACGAAGGTGAAACCCTTAGTCCTCCTCGTCAGCATCGTGCAAAATTTCGAGCATAGCGCCAACACCATTCCTGGAACGAAGCACGGATCAAGAGCTGATAGCCTTTAGTAACTCAACAGCTCTTAATGATCCTGTCATCGCCAACAAGCTTGATGATCAACATAAACTCTATATAGAGGAAAATAAGAGAGCTATTTGTCTATCTCAGATCTTTGATTTCCGAAGCGCATTCGGACCATTGCATCAAGCCTAAGAGCGTTAGTGCTTTGTAGCAAAAGTTCGCCATGCAGCCTTTGACAACTTGGCCCACAGGGCACGAGGCTACGACGTCTGACAAACTTACCGAAAGAGATCTTTTCAGAGAGGGATACTTGATGCTTAAAAGGGACCACGATTTCCTAATACCTAATCAAGTTGACGGAACAAGCACGTCGTGACTCTGTACCGACGCAGATAACTGTCCTAGTCGTTCTTTAACCAGGCTAGAGCGAGGCCGATGATGACAGCACGTTCACTCATTAAGCACATAGGGCACGTCAGTTGCCCATCACGAGTGGCCTTCAGTCTAGAAATTTTGAGGCTAATGTTCGGCTTGATCGCAAGATACGTTATGCGTTTGCTAAGATGAAGATCAAAGACCAGGTGCGTTCTATGTATTGCAAAAAAGTAGGCAGAACAAGTTTCTAATCAAACCACCACTTTTTTACTGTGGAGATAGTCGCAAATTTCTTAGTATCAACAAGGGAGCCGTACACCGCCACACTTACTTTTATTCAGCGCGATGGGGTGCAAGATGACCCGCAACGTGACGCCCCGGGCGTATGTGCAATCTTGCCGATGAGATTACTCGGACTCCCATAAATTCTCAGACTCAGGGTACCCACACCATTTCACCACATACTTTAATAGACCTTTGTGGCGACGCCGCTTCGAAGGCTTTTCCGCATAGAAACGCAAGTTTTCTTGCTCGTCAAGCACCGCAGAAGGAGGTCGGTGTGTTGGTACAGCGCATACTGATTTAGCGTCGAAGGTGACGCGACTTTGCGAGATTTTTGCTTACGTGCAGACTGAAGTACATCCGTTGTGGCTGAGAGAAAACAATTCCGGAAGATCCTCGACTAAGTGCAACGTGCTAGTGCACAGTATATCGTATGAGCTAGATCATTTACACGAGCAGATGATCCGTCTT